CCAGGGCCCTATCAGGTAACCTTCCTCCAAAAATTGAAACATACTCTAAAGGAGCAACACGCATCTTTTTTTTTTTTTAGTTGAAGTGCTTTGAGGAAAGGGTCCAAATCAAACATCTAATGACAGCTGCCACCCACAGCTCCATAAGCACAGCAGAGGTCTATGGCTGAGGCAGCAGGTGGAAGCCCTGGGGCAATGACAGCCCGTTACCAGGAGCAGAATTAGTTGATCCCAGCTCTGGGAAGGTGCCATGGCATTTACAAGTGACGCAGCTGTGAGTAAGGATGAGACAGGGATGGCAGGCAGGGAAAGAGAATCTCAATGGAAAATATGCAAGAATGACACTGAAGATACACAACGGGGGTGAAGGAAAAAGAGTACATGAATGAGGAGGCAAATGACGGAGGAGGAGCAGACCAGGCACATATATCAGGGACGTGCGCAGCTCCAAAACTGTCAATAGCAGGAGCTCCCTTACACAGGCGAGATGTTTTGCGCAGCAGAACTGCGCAGGCATTGATCACCGAGTGACAGGTTCGCACAGGTTCAGGGGGGCTGTTTGGAAATGGCACCCTGGAGGCAGGAGGGACGGGATGAGGTTCTGGCTGTGTTACCTGATGGCATCGGAGGCTACGTCTGTCCATGAACATCAACTTCAGCTCTGCAGAGACGGGGCTGCAGCAGACAGCGTTCTGTCACAAGGTATTAAGAGATCAAATAAGAATCACATGCTTCCTTAACAAGCTAAAATATACGTGTAATTTCATGAATTATAAAAGCTGTTCGTCTTCCCACCTTCTCACGGTATGACTGTCAAATTATTAATAAAAGGGCATGTCTGATACTGAATTAAGGAGCTGCAGTGCCTGAAATGTATCTTGTATGCTAAATAACTGCTGCCTCCACAAACCACACTAACAGAAACCCCTGCACACAAGGATTTTCACATTTGGCATCATCCCGACTGAAAAATTGTTCAGCACCACTTTGCTAAGTTTCAAGACTGTACAGACAAGCCGTCCCCCACCAGCTCCACCCCAGCACCTTTCCCTGGAGTTGCTTAACCTCTGGTGATCGTAGCCCATAAAACTCGTTTTCTTCCCTCTCCAACACCACGTAACATCAGCTCCCACAGGTGTTAACTGTTCTCTCCAAAGCCCCGTACCGCAGCACGGGGACAACATGATGAGCACACTGAGGGCTCCCCTCCTCAGCGGGCACTGCCGAGGCCCTGCACGGCAGGCCTGGGCTGCGAAGGCCGGCGGCGGAAGGCTCAGCTCCCCCACAGACCCACCAAGGCCCTGTTCCGCCGGGGAGGCCCGTGAGCGGAGGCAGGGCTGCAGGCTCAGCCCTCAAGACGTGCTGTGCTGCCTTACCGTGCCTGCAGAGGCCAGGCGGGGGTGGCGGCGCTG